AGTAGTGTCTGAAGATTACTCCGTGCGGCTACAAATGACTGTTAAATGGAATGATGAATTGTTGAAGGATTTTGAAAACGGAAAAAATGATAGTCATGCCGGCCCAGCAACCTCAACGTTGAAAAATGCCCCGGCCCAAAGTGGTTAAAGACGTCTGACTGCAGTGTGACGAGAGCTGTCCGAACTCCTCAGTAAGTGCAGAGGCGCAAGGCACATTATGAATCGTCAACTAGTCAACTGATGATAATCTTCAACTGAACTTGATCCAAGGTAACCAGATGATTGTCTACTGGTTTATCTTGAGTTACTCAACAAGAGGTTGTTCCTAAATGGTATACCAATCTACAAGCTTGGAGTAGCAAGCCCATTTAGTGGCACTGTGGACTCATATCCTGACTGTACGTGAAAAAAATAATTTCTGGAGCATGCAATATGCGTGTATGGATACACCAGCCTGGTGGCTTTGAAGTCTGGCTGATACCCTACAGCAAGCTTCATTATGTTTAGGTACATGTACGTCATTTAAACTGAAACCTCATGAGGAATGATTGAGATACATGTATGTCTCGAGAAAAAATGATATTTACTGACAGCACATACATTTAACATGTTGATCGTTGATGTTGCTCACTGTGTACATGTATAGTTATCGGCACATACAAACGGTACAATGGATTACATGTAAGTGATAAACTGGCTTCACCAAAGCAGCACAGGTTCACCTTTGGTCAGTGCACCTTTGATATTTGGTATGAAATTGGCACATTATACATGTAAATAGTAACTTCTTATTAAAATATAATTAATTACAGGATGACTGATATTCAGCAAACCTCATCTTTTATACGCACATACCTCTGAGTGTGTCTTTGGTGTTCCATCATCCAGCGAGATGATGAACACGCTCTGCTCAATGGTATCCAGATGGGATGCATTGACAGGGTCCAATGCACGCAAGTGTTGGTAAGCCTGTAAGAATAAAATTGACGCCATTCGCCTGGCCATGAACAGTGAACAGAAGCAATTCACACAGTGTGCCTTCAACGCTTACCCCCCAAGAGGGTGTACTTTCAAATTGGGGACCCACATCGCTTATGATGTGAAACTCCATGCTGTGAGGACATTGACATCATTTGAGTACAAGACCGACGCAAATCTGAATGGAAGAATTCTTTGAATGACTCGACTGCAACATCCAACATACATGTAATGGTTCAAAGGACAGGCTGGGTGGGCATGGTACGATTTACAGCTCTTGATTGCTAAGTAACAGAGCTATTGTACATGATGCTAACCTCCCACCATGTAGTCAGGTAGAACATGCTTTTAATTTTAACTTTTAGACAACAAGTGGTTCATGTACTGTGAACCCCTAGCACAGGACAATCTCACACTGACCAACATGACCTGATGTGCATTTGCTATTGTTGTAGACAAAAACCGCAGCGCGACAAACCACACGCTTGCCTACAGTAATCTTATCTGATCTTGGGAAAGCCGTATTGATCAGGTGATACTGCGAGAACAGAAATGTCTGGGCTTTCTCACAAAAGAGTTGTCAAAATGACAGCTACAAGTAGCTAAATGAACTCCTTAAGTCTCATCAGCAATGATCAGGGTATAAAAACAAGGCAATCAATATATATGTATAACCTCAAGGCATCCCAAACTCTCCGCCGGCTCTTTTAAGGTTAAACAATTATTTGTAATTTCAACCCTACTTTTGCAAAGGAGGGCCTGTCGTCGGCCGTCAGCACCCCAATGCCTTGCCCTCTGGTTGTGCTCAGCTTCTTAATGTGACACAGCTGCCTATACATTCAGGAAATATAAGATTTTGTTGGCAAGGTGTTACTGTTGTGTTTGACGATAACTTTTTTCAAACTGACTGTTATTGCCACTTGAACACTTGGGGTGTAATACTCGCTTCTCGGTAGATTGGGTGTTTGTGCACAGTATACACGGTATGTACAGTAAGGATTACCAGGTACACCATGGGGTCTGTCTTTCAGTAAGGATTACCAGGTACACCATGGGGTCTGTCTTTCAGTAAGGATTACCAGGTACACCATGGGGTCTGTCTTTCAGTAAGGATTACCAGGTACACCATGGGGTCTGTCTTTCAGTAAGGATTACCAGGTACACCATGGGGTCTGTCTTTCAGTAAGGATTACCAGGTACACCATGGGGTCTATCTTTACCCTATGTACTCAGACTACCAGTTCTGCCATCATGCAAAGTTTGGAATCTTACCGTGCGTATAGTAGACAACTTGTGTTATAAATAAAACCAAGCAGGATCCACACATCCTGTTTCATGCATCCTGCTTTCCGGGGATGGTACATGTATTTCATTTCTGGAATTTTTCCAACATTTGACAGTGGATTCAAACATAAATAAAATGTGCACAGGGGAAAGCCTTGTTTATTTAGGAAAACTCAAAGCTACATGTCTGCCATCACATCTAAATCTTGTGCCAATAGCAAGGAACCGGGTTTTACTGTTTGCAACAAAATATATGCAAAAGGTCAACATCGCCGTATATCTGGAAGGCTTACTGGGGCATGGTCTTACACATGTACATTCCTTCGTGTCTAGCGCATCCCAAGCCTACTACTAAAACAAATACAAGGACTGTGAACAGTTTATAAGATGTTAGCAAGAACCCACCTGTATATTTCTTGAGCAGGCAGAAGTCTGTCCTTGTCGTCAATGGGTCTCATCAGGAAAATGTGCCCATTGCTGAAGACAACCACATGGTTAGAACATAGCCCCTCACTCTCTGCATAATGGCATCGACAAGTTTTGTACATATAAACAACAACTGCACCACTTTAACCCTAACCGCCAAGCATATTGTTTGGCTTACACTACACAGTACTACAAAATACTAAGTAATAGTCTGAGCCTGAAGGACCTAGCGCTACAAATTACAACTCTGGCTTGGTTACTTCCATTGTTACTTGCACAGAGAACAATAAAGCCATGCATTCACAGTGCTACAGCACTGAATGATACATTGTCTTATCTATTGTATCTTATAGTTTCACAGAACAATAAAGTCATGTCCTCTTACAAGCGACAGCGCTCAGTCCCACATTTTACTACAAGTAGTAATTTGTAGTATTATGTAGGGTTAGGGTTAAAACAGGAAAAAGGGTTAAAACAGGAGAAGAATACCAATGCAGTTAACTAGCATGACTTCCAAAATGCATTGAGTACGTATAGCACGTACAAGGTTTTTACCTGTTGGAACATATTTCCATGAACGTAGCGTGAATGATGAGGGACCAAAAGTGATTTAGTTCACAGTTTCTAATGGAAACTTAAATTTCCATTTAAGTAATTAGGCCATTGCACCCATATCTGCTGAGTTTGCGGTCAATAGGATATATGGACCTCTGACCTACATGTACAGGTAAATGTGGGGTCAAAAATCATCAAGCCCATGATGGACACCAAGATTAGGCAACTTATTAAGTTTGAAGTTAATATGTCCAGTCTTCCTTGAGTCAGGTTGTTTTGGCCATAATGACCTTGACCTCGAGGGGGGGACTATGGTTTGTTGCCTACCAAGTTTAAAGTAGCGCAGAAGCTGGTCTCTGGTTTCGCCTGGGATTCTCGTGCAGTTGAAGAGACCTCGGAGTTGGTTCATTGAGAAGGCCTGACCGGCGCGATTCCTGTCCACTGGAAGCTGCTCTCTGAACAGGAGAAACAAAGATTTGAAAAATAAAATGGCTGTTGAGTTGTCTACCAAATTAATAATTAATAATCTCTAAAATCTCTCCTTGGAAGCCTTCTAATGCATTTGCCCAGTTTTTTTGCCCACACATGTACATAGTTCTGACAATTGCACGGAAGGAAAGTATGCAAATTTGCAAAAGTTTTGTAAAACTAGTACATAAAACGAGAACGCCGTAAACGCAGTGTCCAACGTGGAACTGTTCTGAGCATGTTTGCTTGTCAAGAGGCCCTACTGGGACTTGAGCTTACCGTCGCATTTTCTGGAAGTAGTCCAGGGTGTACCAGGCCAGAATGGCAGCTCTTTCACACTGAGTGCCTTCCAAAGGGGGCCAGATGTTATCATGGCAAGGCGGCATACCGCCCATATTACACTGAACGGCAAGAGGGGAGCGGGTATGTAGATAGGCATAATCCTCCCACCATTGCTCAACCTGCGACCAAGAGTGGAAACGTCAACATGACGGTAACATGAACAGGTTGGGCATAAACCATTCATCAGGATGATCGTGTGCTTGTGCTGTGCTAACAGGCTTACTTTCCCCCTCCCCCAAATGATCTTCTGCAACCGTGACTTACAATTACATGTACAATGTACCTATTGATGGCAGAATACCGTATCAACTACTGATGTACTAAGACTGACAGATGACGCACAGCTAAGATGAAGGTGAATTAATCCCTACCATCGCTACTGCTCAGCTCTGAATTTCTCAAAACTGCTTAAGCACAGGATTTGCTTGTGAGAATAAACCTTGCTTAATAAACAAAGGTTACCAGTTCAAATTATATGTGATTGTAATGCTAACCAAAAGACAGGTAAGTACCATTTCAAAACAATATACATCACAAAAAGTTTTGGCTGGTAACCTGATTTGTCAAGCAAGGTTTTTTCACGTTTGAACAAGTTTTTTGCTTAGGCAGCACTACGAAATTGGCCCCATCAGAGGGGGAGGGGCTAATTAAGTGTACACATGTAGGTCAACACTCTAAACATGAAGTGATACAATCATACAATGTAGACAATGAAGTACATGAAACTGCCACACTTGGCACTCGTTAATTTCTATGTCCCTCAGGGAAATTTGGGGCAGTGTACCTTGTAAACTAACTGTGGCAAAGGGTACATGTGCGGTAGGATTGAGCGGACGCTAGGCACTTACCCAGTTTTTGTGGGTGCGTGCTCTCTCCAACAGTTTCTTATGCAGCTCTTTTCCGATGCCCTCGCCAAACTCGGTCACGATACGCCGGGTGTTGTCAAATTCATCCTTTGTCAGGAAGGGTTTGGCTGCCAGAGGTGTTTAGGACCACAGTTAAAATCTGGTTTGGCTCAAGAACACTCAACTGGCAAAAAAGTTCAATAGTGATATAGGCCTTGATGTACAGCTGTGGCCTTCAGTCAGGTGACTCTAAGGCCACCTTAAGGCTGGATTCGGGGCCTTGACTGGCCTAGGACTTAAGACTTGTGGGCAAAACCTTCAGGCTTGGCCTTGAGGATTAGGGCCTTGGGATTTTTAATCAAGGCCCTTTAAAGGGTTACAAAAATAGAAAACATTTCATTCACGCTTAAGTATTTCAAAATAATAATAAATACGTAACCATTTCAGAAACATCATACATTTAATGTTTACCCTATTAACCCTAACCCTCCTCAATCCTTCACCTGTTGGAGGACTGAGGAGAGTTAGGGTTAATTGTGACTGCAAATCGAATACAAAGATCCTGCGTTTCCCTGCCCACAAAAAATCCCTTTCTGGCCATTTGCGCTCCCAGGCTGATTGGATGATGTCATCGCCACAACGATGCCTATACAGTGTACATACATAGCGCACAGTACAGGCAGTATCGCACGCAATAGACCACATGATGTCATCCATTCAGCCTGGGAGCGCAAAAGGTCAAAAGGGCATGCAAAGCTTGAAGAACACTGAGTTTAATCACTGGCAGATCCAGGAATACCATACAACTACATCAGTTGCACACAAAAACATGGAGGCTTTATTTCTATTTACATTCCTTGGCAATAAAGCTTACTGGATTCCAAGTATTTCTGCAGCGTCTTTTCCAGAGGGGGCACTGGCAGCGGAGGGAGGGAGTCCTCAAGCTGGAATGTCCCCTCTTTGTTACTGCTCTTCAAGGACGCTGTGTTCATCGTTCTGACTGAAAAGGCAGAAAAAAAATCTCTAATTTTTAGAGAGAAGTCTCAAAAGGCAATATTCTTTGTTACAAAGCAGGCCTTGACTGATAAATAAAACACATACTTCTTTCTGCGTTGTAAATTACATCCTCCCTTCATGACCAAGCGAGGGCGTGGTCCAGTATTTTAGGCACTACGTTCAAATTATACAGACTGGTCAAGGCTTTCCTTACCCAAAGAAACGTTGCAATATTATCCAGTTAGAATTTTTAAACTTAATTCCGAGGGAAATTACAAGTTTTATGGCTCTGGTCAGGAGGATTTGTTATTAAAGGAAAAAGAAATGAAATTTTACTACATTTGTACACTACAATTTATGTGTATGTACAGACTGGCAGTGCTGATTGTCCATGCCATAACTACAGAATTTGGAAGTCACGTTACACTTACCGTAACTACAACTACTGTGCATGTACTTCATAATTTTTATGCCAAGGAAAATGAACAGTTAGCCCAAACTGTGCAAGGTGTCAATAGTCGATTCTTCTGCTTCTTGGCATGCTTGGTGATGTATGTAGTTATGTACATGTAAGGCCTTTTCACACTAGACAAATCTTGGGGTTGATACAGGGTTGAAAACTGGCGTCGATTCACACTTGAAAATTTTCAACCCTACGCCAACCCTGCGTCAACCCCGAGATTGACTTCAATTAACCCGGGTTGTACTCAACCCTACTCCGGACGAGGTATGAGATTTTCAACCCGGGTTGAAAATTGTTTGTGCTCATTTCTGGGTTGAATTCACCCCAATAATAAGCTCAATTCACACGAAACACGAGTGAAACAATGCTGGGTTGAATCTAGGGTTGAAAAATCCAATTTTCAACCCAGGGCGTGGCCAGGGGCTCGCCCAGGGTTGAGTTCAACTAGAGTTGAGAGGCTGAAGTGTTAAAAGGAAGAGTAGTCTCCTCAAGACGGACAGAGTACACTATTCGAAACGTCGAGTTATCCCCCGGTTCTTCTCAGAACCACACATACTCAAGAAAGATATTGATCCATGGTGCAACCGCAAGCATTGTACTCATCTAGTTTTTTTCACCACGAAAACCTTCAACAAGTCTCATCAGTGTGAAAAGGCCTGTACATGGAATTCTTGCCATTGCAATACCATATTTATGGGATAGTAGGTAGGCCTGCAAGATGAATTTGTACATCATATACATGCATCAGGTACCCTTATGGTACAGTACGCTACAGGACCTAGCCTAACGTCAGCGATAGCGTTTGTTACTGGTACCCTGCAGGCCTAATGTTCAATTTAGTTTCACTTTATTTCCACTCCCACAAATGTAACATGTACATTTACAATGAACAGTGACAACAGGAAATGGAAGGGTCTCATCATAGAAAGCAACGCTTGTCAAGTATAGGACACCTGGTAACATGTACATTGTACATTAAATCTACAAACATACCTGTGAGTGCAGGTACTATAATACCAAAGCACCAGACTAAGGATAAACATGAATCAACAAAGGAAGATGACGAATAAATCAAACTTAACAATAAATTAAACTCATACATGTAGATTATAATTGAAATTAAAATGATAATGAATTGATAAGTGAATAGATGGGATAGACAAACGTGTATTACAGGTAATGTACTGACATGAGTAATAATGCTAATAAATGAAAGGCAGTTGCTATTGTTACGGAAGTTTGGACAAGTTTCTGTCTCCTTTCTTGCACCAGTCGGGTGCACTGGAAACAGGAACCAGACCAGTCTACATGTACACTGACTCTCATCATCTCAGACTTTATTTCCCTTTCAAAAGAACTCCTCCTGGGGTAGGGCCTATGAATCCACCAAAAAACACAACAAAAACATGTAGGTCCAGGCCTAGGCTACATATGAGAGTAAACACGCGAACCGATTCCCGTGGTCAGACATCTGGGATTGAAGTTGAACTTCTGTCAATCTGTACATCATTGAATAGCACGAAGGGTAAATTTGCCCCTTTGCCGTGTTTGCTGTGTGTTAAAGTTGAAAGTCCATAGTGACATCACATCGACCGTGAGAATTGAGAAATTAAAGACACTTGTCATAAAGAATGACAAGTGCGCTCGATCCTACACATGTACATGTAGCTAGCACATCCAGCACTGCACTGTCCAGATTGCAGACATGGCAGAGCAGTGCACCGATTGCACCATCACAATGCCACAACAGTATGAAAAAATTAAAACCTCGTGATTGATAGGTCTATACCTGTAAATTGCCAATAATAATGGAAAATTGTGGAACAATGTAACTAGGCCTAGGCCTACACGAATAGAATTTAGAAGTATGTTGTTACTTTAGGCCTAGTAACCGTAACAATTCAGCCACTTCATGAAAAACTCAATCTGCAGAGATAGACCTACATACATGTATTTCATATATAAACACACTGGTATTTAGAGAATTCCATTAAATTTTGGGCCCTATTTCAGTTTTGAGGGATGGATTTATCGCCAAATAAAAAGTGATCAGATTAAGCCCATTCCTTTTTCTTTCTTCATGTTCTTGGCCGAGCCTAGCCAAGGCCAGTACTGTGGTAAAAAAACAAAAAAGCGTCCTCACCGTGTCACTGCCACAACCATCTTCCGACAACACAGTGAATCAGCATTAGCCTATCACTCAGGCAACTTTTGCAGGCAAGCCGGGGAATAATGGACTTTGATCTGATCTCACAGTTACAACTGAACTCATTTATCGTGTTTATGTGTCGTATTGATCAGTTAAGCCTACAAACTGACCTTAGCACCGATGCATGACCGGCATAGCCAGTACAGCTAGCTGCAGGGCCTAGGGACCTCCTTCGGCCGGGCCTCCTTGAACTCGTTTTATAGCGCCCTCATTTGTTTCGTCGGCAAACTCAGTGTACACCACATGGGAGCACTGAACCAATTCAAGCTCCATTTAAAATGGTGTAAAATCAACCAAGTTTGGAGCCCCATGGCAGGCAACTGAAGTCCCTGAAGCCTCTCAAACAAAAACCAATGTGTTGTTTGGTCCTTCAGATTTCATTTGATTTTCAATTTTTAATAGGTTAACCTATGAATTTTTTAACTATCCGCCCAAAACAAACTCACCCCCCAAAAAGTGAATGCTGCCAAGCTTCCCAGCCGCCATTTTTCAAATGACATCCCTCGGGCTCCCTCGGGGGGGGGGGGGTACTTTTTGTGCGCCTCGGCCTGGCGGAGACTTTTCCTTGAATTGGGACACTGCACCTGCTTGAGCTTGTGCGTGTAACCGTGGCCGTTTTCCAGTACTAGACTTGGGCTCCGTTTCTGGCTTCAACTGGTTTTTTTACTTCCTGACTTTGAGGTTATAGGCACAATAGTAAGTCTGATAGTGCCACAAAACATTAAGTAAGATGCAAAAACGCCATTCATTTGGCACCCTATCGCTGTCAAATAGATCATTATACATGCTATATCACCCTTAAGCTAATACAGGCAAACGCACATTCCAATATTTAGGTACCTTGGGGTGGAACAAGTTGACTACCTCTCAAAGACAGACAGAGTCCCTCTCTAGATTCAAAAGTCTCCTATAGTTGACTTTTATTTAACTGTTATTACCTTTTATCTTAATTTAATCATTGTTACATAATTTTAAGACGTAGATTACGCTCATCCTCGCTCATCTGACCTCGTTTAATTCCATTTGATTTTTAGTTATAGTTTTACTATAACGTCTACATTATATATACGTATATATATTCCTGTTGTTTTTATACTTTACTTCATTTCGCATTAACTGTGTGTTATGTGTTCATTATTAATTTTAACATCATCGTTAACTTCATTTTTTTTCTTACCAAGGGACTGCCAATTTCATTTAAAAACACCCTTCCCCGCTTTTGTTCCCACTCGGAGCGGATACCAGGGATTGTTAAGACCGAGTGTTACCAGCTGATGATGAGCCTCCATGGTGCGACCTGCGCCTTGACTAAAGGCTATAATGATAGTGGAATTACGGATTCTCTTGTTTGCTGATGGTCGCCGAGCGGTCACACAGGGCACTAGGAAGGGCAAATCATGACGATTTAATTACGACAGCAAGTATCTCAAAATGGTTTGCGCCTCAAGGCTTTTCTGCATTTCCTTCACCAAAATTTGTGAAAGCACTGTCAGAGAACAACCAAAATGAAATCGTCACTACGCACTGAGGGCGACTCATCTGTCAGACGATAAAGCGTGCACGCTATCCACGAAACGTCCTATCATGATGTCATTTAGTTGTTCTCGAAAAGTGCCTTCCAAATATTTTGTGAAGAGCATGATCATGTTTCACCCATCTTGTCAGGCCTAATGTCTTTTATTAACCAAAACTCAAAGACCCAATTCAGTTGGGGACTAAATTTGAATTCGTTTTTGGAGTTCCCCATAACAAAATTTTGACTTATGTTTTTCTTTGTACTAAGTTTTACTTATATAGGTGCAAATTTCAGATTCAAATGCCTTCCTTTTTGGGGTTAAGACCATTTTTACAAAATCAATATCATATAGAATATAAGATTGCTGTCAAAAATCAAACCCTTAGTCTTCATTATAAAAAATGGAAATTTCAATTCTAATTCTGTGAACCCTAGCAATTATTTCAAATGGACTTGTACAGTGACCATCTTTCTACATCTCTTCATTCAAATGGACATGTACAGTGACCATCTTTCTACATCTCTTCATTTCAAATGGACATGTACAGTGACCATCTTTCTACATCTCTTCATTCAAATGGACATGTACAGTGACCATCTTTCTACATCTCTTTATTCAAATGGACATGTACAGTGACCATCTTTCTACATCTCTTCATTCAAATGGACATGTACAGTGACCATCTTTCTACATCTCTTCATTCAAATGGACCTGTACAGTGACCATCTTTCTACATCTCTTTATTCAAATGGACATGTACAGTGACCATCTTTCTACATCTCTTCATGGTCCCCACTTTTTCTGAAGTTTTTCTTTTATACTTTCCATTTATCTCCTGTTTTCTCAATCTCCTCAATTGTGTATAATTCGTGCTTTTTCTTTCTAATGTATGTTTTGCGTTTTAATGACCAATAAAACACAGAAAGAGAAAAACATTGAGAAGAGCAGTTGCCCTTCAGTGCCCGCAGTCAAAACCATTACTATCCCTTGTCAACGGTACTTTTGAATATAGAGTTGTAGACAAGCAATACGCACTCAGGGAGACTCCTTCATTTACGGGCTACCCTCGCGGTGCATAATTTCTCAGTGTCAGTGCAAGTTGATGAAGCTCCAATATTGCCAGGCATCAATCTCAAGCTTCTGTTTTTCTTTCAAAGCTCCAATGAAATTTTGTTTTGGCCTCATTTTCCATTTTTTTTCTCTCTAGCAAAATCAACTCCATGCCGCACATTTCACCAGCATGTTGTAATTTTACGAGCCGGATTTCATGTTCATGTACTCACAAAATTACTCTGAGTGTCGAGGCATCACATCACGAAGCGGATTGTGGAGCGCGTTATTTTTGTCTCTTGTGCTGCCAAGGCCCGAATTCAGTATGCCTGTTTTAAAACCAAATCTAATTGGATCAATTCAAACTGCTCTCAATACAATTTTATAAAATTTCGTTTGGCTTGAGTCTCCAGGTAGTCTGAACCAGGGGTGATGCACTGACGTGCACACTTCCTACGCTGATTGTAAAAGGCAATGTATGAATAGTTTGCTGTCGCTGACAAAAGTTCCCAAACGCTGTTCTAGTGGTAACTTTGTTCTGGTTGGTCCATGCTTATGACATCAGCGCTCTTGATGTACATGTACCTGGACGTAGCGCGGTCCCTAACATGACCCACTTTTACTTTTCGTTTGTAGTAAAAACAAAATTTTACCTCAATAGGTGAAACATACACAATATGGAATGTCAGTAATTGAGGGCAACGGTGACGTCATAAGCATGGATCAATCAGAACAGACTACCGGCAGAATATTTGTTGGAATTTATGCCGGCGCCACGGCAAAATATTCACAAGCCGGATACAGCAAATAGATCAAACTAGATCACACTGATATTAAGAACAAAGACACGATGGGATTGATTAATTAATGACAATAACACTCCAAATCTCGACGACGAGTATATCCAGAAGTTGACAGTTAATAGTCGACGGTAGCGCACAAGTAAGTTCTTAAGACGACCTTACGGGCAAAGACTCAGGCAGGCTCATCAACGCAATACAACTCCTCAGATGAAGAAAACTGAAGTTTGAAGGCACAAATACGCCTTTGAACAAGCGGCGAATCACCTCCAACCAGCGGCGTAGGCAGGATTCCGAACACGGGGGGGGGGGGAGCAGGGGGCTTAATTGTGGGGGGCTGACTGGATGTTGGACATATACATGTACATAATCGTGATCACATCAGGATATGCAAGTGGGGGCGACAATTTATCATGGGTGGCGTGCGTTCCCCTTAAGCCCCCCTTAGTCACGCTGCTACCTCCAACAAACTTCGGTATCATACAGGCACAACGGCAAGGGGTGCGAGCTGACTCCCGATAGACCCTCCCCCCGAATTCTGTGTTGTAGACGCAGTTCTCAGAATGTGGTCCCCGAAATTAGATCTATCTCACACTTCCTCGTTAAAAAAGGAACTTTGACCAATCGTTCCACGGACAAGCAGGTCACTAGTGTGATACAGAAGTTCCATAAATAAAGTCTCAACACTGTTAAAACCAACGGCCATTGTATGAACGCGTCTTTGCATTCATTGGAAACATGTGACCATTTAGATGAAATACCCTTTGGGAAATAAACGTGTTTGGGTGTTCAGAAAATGTTACCAACCGATGAAAGTGTATTTTTTGTCTTGTTATTAACATCTACATATTTTGTCTAAATTTATCAACGCACCAACAAGTATTTGGTTAACAAATAAACACCACAACATGTTTAAATTAGTATTATACACCACACGTTCATAAGGTGTTACCAGGAAGGCGTTGAAGAGGCTCTAAAACATTAACCTTTTTTTTACAGTGGAGTCATAAGTTTAAGTCCCTTACTAGTGCTATCGCCATAGCTCCTTAGCCCTACCTTCATACAGGATTTATTTTCAGAAATGACTCTAAGTTTCCAGGAACATCTTACAATAAGGAAAAGAAGTTTCCAAAAAAATAGACTCAAATAATCGGCAGAAAAAACTCAGTCCATCATAACGACCACACCTAGTCAAACGCGGGCCACTCACACATTGTCGTGAAGCAACAGTAAATGTTCGTGGTCTGCGTAACATTTTGCCAGGAATATGCAGTCATCCAAATATTATCCAGTCGAATGGCACTTCGAGAGCCCCGTATTAAGTAGAGGAGTGGAAGTCCACGATGACTGAAAAAGATCAGGAAGTAGGAAGACCACGAGGAATTAGGGCAGGCATGAATTTCCCGTCAAAGCGGATGAGCAACATTTGAATAGATGGTATGCCTACCTGTGCTTCTGCAGTGTAATAACTATCGTGCAATCATGGGCCACGAGGAAAAATTACGAGCAGAATGAGGACATTCCCAAAAAGATATCACTCAACACCTGCAATGATGGACATCACAATTCAGTACACCGAGAGGTTGAACTACTCGAGATAGAACAAGCAATCATTATGGGTGAGGTTTTATTAACTTTCTGAACTTGAAGGTGAATATATAGGGTCTCTACCCGTGATTACCCCCGGATGACTCAGGTAAAAAAGACAGCAGCGCGCTGCACGCACCAATAAGCCGGCACACGATGTCACCACTCGTCACGCAGTGGATCAGAACGATGACATTAGCGGTGAACGATATAGGCGCCGAATTAGTTCCCAATTATTTTGATGTGAAACTGAGCCCCTCTGTGAAGTACAATCATTAACGTACAGTTTGTAGGGTTGCAAACAAAGCACTTGGGTATAAGGGCTTATCTTCGGGAAACTACAGTGGTCAACTGGCATGAACACCTGCAGTGACTAGAGGTAAAGCTTGTACAGCTCTAACTTTTTAACCACGGTAAATATAACTTCTGGTCCAGCGAACATGGGACCGAATTGGTGTACACTTTGCTAAAGCCTATATGGATACCACACAAGAAATGCTCGTTTATGCGACAGCGTTGCCAAAAACAGTCCCAAACGATATTTGGAAACATTTGTTGTGACTGACACAAACACGGAAGCAGACAGCAATTACTGGGTCATCGTCAACTTTGTGTCAAGAGGGCAGGATGGTTTCACTGTACGGAAGCCTAAAAGGGCCACTTGCAATATTTACGCGTTAGGCCTACTGTCTCGCTGCAGTGAGATAGTAACTTGATTTTCTTTGCATGTTTCCCTTATACACTTCCCTATACACGTTAAATCTTCAACATGCCGATGATTATGCACAGCGAATGCGAGCTGCTTAACCACACACCGATGTAAGCATGATCGTTGCCCTCCTAACGTATTCACACGTAAAGAAAATTAAGTGAACAATATTTATTTCTGCCTGGTCGCAGTGATAATTCGCCAGTTCCTATATATATACCGTCCAAGCCAAGTCTACAACTAAAGGAATATGTGCAACTGAAACAATGAATGGTACGGTGCAATGAGATTCCTCGTCTCGTCCAAGATTTATAGACGTTGTAGCCACGACATGCATGGAATCGAACCTCAATCTCTTTTTCATTTTGTAAAGTTCGGAGTAAGGTCAAAGGTTATGTGTGCAGAACACTCATTTCCAAACTGTAAAACCCATCAAGGGTGATCACAGGAGCGACGTCATTATCCGATTCATTTATACATTTGTTGCCATTTTCAGTTGCCATTGAGCACGCGTGTCAGGTTGGCCTCTAACCCCCCCTGCATTTAGGAGGGGATATCGGAGGTTAAACACCCAGGGAAGACACGAATATATCACGTGTTATGTGTAATGGCTTATAGTACAACGTTTTCGTGCAACCCTTCTTCGAGTAATCGAACACACCAGTATTGCAAGGTGTTTAGGCAGGGTACATCTGTGAAATTGCGCATGTATTTTCTTCCTTTCTGAACAAACCTTTAGAGCCTTCCAGGGCGCCCCTTGATGACATCGCTGTATCGATATTGGCTGGAAAGCTGGGGAAGGAGTGGAAACAATTGGCGCTCCGCATTGGTGTAACCGCTGAAAAACTAGACACCATCAGGGCCAACAATCCGCTGCACACGATCAACCAGATCATAGAAATGTTGCTCACCTGGCGGAGGATGCAAGGACGGGATGATGACGTCGTTTCCATCCTTGCTGAAGCTCTCAAGAGCGTTGGCCGGACCGACTTGGCAGAGGAAATGCTAGCAGATCAAAGTAAGTCCCGACAAAAAGCACGGCGCCGATACAAAGGGGTCTCAGATCAGAGAGAGGCAAACTCATCAGGAAACAAAAACAAAGGAAAAAATGCACACATAAAATGCAGTGTTTTTCTTAGTGTATAGATATTCAAAGCAGAATTTGTACCCCTAAAGAAATACATTCTGTTTCAACCTCGATAGTGTCAGAGTTATGAAACAAAAATTCGATAGTATCTTGTGCATAGAAGATTTACACACTGCGACAATAGTTTGGGGGTGTATTCCATAACGTAATGTTGGTTCATTTAATTAACAGAAACAAGCACTTCGAGTACAAATTTTGACATCAGAGCTCTCCGTGCTGAGCTGATTGAACATTACAAAAACACAACCTGTAAAGTACCTACCCATCCTCTGTTTCCGGCTTGGGTGAGAGATATGAGCGAAATCTACGTTGATCTATACATGGCTGACAAAAATGATCAGTCGCACAGGCAGTCGCCACGATCAGCTGATCCACCAGAGAGGGATTCTTTGCAAGGGAGTGAGAAAGCTCGCCTTCAATCCCACGGCGAGCTGGTGGGTCTAGATGGTCCGGGCAAGTACAGGGTGTTGCTGAAGGGTAAGCCTGGTTCTGGGAAGTCGACAGTTATCAAGAAAGTTACCTATGATTGGTCAAGTCTAGAAGACTGGGAGGAAGAAAAATCTCAGTCTGAGGCAGAGGCTGTAAAACCACACCAGGAACAACCAGAAAAGCTCCGGTCATCGTTCTCCAAATTTACATTGTTGTTTCCTCTTAAGCTTAACAAGATGATCAATGACACGGGCATTGTGGACAGCATTTGCGGCCAAATTCTTGCCCGGGATACTAAGGTGTCAAAAGTTGGCCTGAAAGATTACATCGAGAGTCAACAAGAAAAGGTTCTCTTTCTCTTGGATGGTCTAGACGAGCTGCCGGCGAGTGTCTTTGAGGAGAGGGAGGGAGACAACTACTTAATGGATGTGCTGAAAGGAAGGGCACTGAGACGTTGCTGTGTCATAGTTACTAGCAGGCATCACAGAGCAAGTCAGCTTCTTAAATGCTATCCCCACTTTGCTTGTGTTGAGATCACCGGTTTTGCCCCCAAAGAGAGAGACAGCTATATCAAGAAGTACTTCGCCAGTCTACAAAACCAGGCGCAACTTATATCCGAGATGGAAGCCTCAACAAGTCTTCGACACTTGGCTGAGATCCCTCTGTTACTGCTAATGATGTGCCTCGTATGGGAGGCCGAGTCTGGACTGCCAAAGAGATTGACCGAGCTGTACGAAAACGTTGTCGAAATTCTTCTCATGCACCAAGCTACCAAGCACGGAGTTCCTTTGTCAAATCAAAGTCAGCTACCGCATCAGCTCATGAACAGGTTGGGGCAGGTGGCACTCCAGGGATTACTAGACAGCGGAGGAGAAAGACTTGTCTTCTCTGCGGATGACTTCTCCCAAGAAGATATTGTTAAGGCCTGCGACATTGGACTACTGATTAGTGACACTGTAGCAGCGGGTTTAAAGGCTGAATCGACGGTCTCGTTTTTGCATAAGAGTTTTCAAGAGCTTTGTGCAGCGTTTTACTTGGCCGAACTCGCCAAGACCAGTAAGAAGCAGTTTAAGAAGTACATCAAATGCATCACTGTTGACAGAGTAGGCGACATGGAGTACCTGCTTCGGTTTTGCTGTGGGAAGAGCACACAAGCAGCAAAGATGATCCTCCGTCATGTGCAGAAACTCGAGAAACACAATTTGTACTTCGAGAGGAGCCAGTCCCAGCGCCTGAGGTTGATGCTCGCATTTGAAGCTGGGTCTAAGAAGCTGGCAAGCTTCCTGTCAGACGTGACGTCGTTTCCTAATCTCAAAGGTGAAGATCTCCTTGCTGCCAACTGCTTCTTGCAAAACGTTCGGTGCCTGACAAGCGTCAAGAAGCTTAGCGTTGAATGCACTTCTTCGACAGAAATGAGTCTTCTGATGGCTATGCTCAGCCACACACCTAATCTTCAGGATCTGATTTGTCACAAGGGACCGCAGGGCACTCCCGGGGAAGAAACATCCGTCCAGATCCCCTGCCTGAGAAAGTTGACGACGGTGTACTTCTTTGACAATCCTGCCAGCCGGTCTTCTGGTCAAACTAGCTCACTAGTGCCTCGATTTATTTCGCAACAAGTCAATATGACTCACATTCACCTGCTTGGTATCGATATGCACGGTTGGATGGGTAGCTTACGGCCACATGCTCGAGCAGTAGTTTCCTTGTCGTTGACTAACTCTGGTCTTCTCACTGCAGACATCAATATATTATGCGATATCCTGTCAGGGGCTTCCAGCCTCAAAGCTCTGACCCTTTCCGGTAACAGTCTGCATGGGTTATTCCAAAATTTGGTATTTATTGGCCCCTCCCTGGAAATGCTGGAATTGTCTAAATGTGGTATCCTCGATGATGACGTGGAGTCCCTCGCGAAGCTCCTATCGGCAGCGCAAAGCCTGAAAAGGCTGAGCCTGAGCAATAACAACATGCACGGCCGACTGAATGTCCTTGCCCCAGTGGTTCCGCACCTAGACACGCTGCATCTTGATTACTGCGGCTTGAAGGATAGCGACGCCGACACTCTGTCCATGTTACTGCCTTCTGCGGAGAACTTGAGGAAGCTGCATCTGCTTCACAATGACTTCGGTAACACAGATGACATCAAATTCATGGTGTGCATGAAAGTCCCAGGAGATACATACCTTCTCTTGAGCTACGACGTCTTCGGTTGGACGTCTCAATTGTAGGCTAGTGGGTCAACTTTGCCATATGCAGAGGCCAACCCTTTCTTGTGTAACGACTGTGTAACATTAAGAGACATTTACCTTATACACTTGTAAACTTCGCACTTTAAGTTTAAACCGAGAGTGTAGTGGTAAATCCCCTCAAACACAGGTGGGACATGACTGCTAGTAATTGAAATACAGATTCAGTACGTGGCATAGCGTATTTTCAAGCCGCTGAACCCAGGCGCATTACAAATCATGACTCTGCAATTTTTATTCTGAAATTGAAATTCTAGAATATTGTTTTTTCCTCAAGCTGTACAGTATCCAATGAGCTAAAACTTCATAAGGTTTGTTCTGAGGCATCCTTCTTTAGATTTTGAGTCATTTTGTGGCCTGAAGGAACATAATACACAAATTAAAAATGATGGACCGTACCTTTAATTGTGTCTGATATTAAGGTCTAACAGTTGCTACAAGTAGATTGACCTCAACCCAGAACCATTTATGGTACGTCAATGCAGTGATCATTTGTGCATTCTCAATTCCTATTTGGTCTGTTTTCACAAGATTTCTGGGAACACCTGCTGCAAAATGTTAAACCGAATCTCAGGCACGTAAGAATTGAGGGCTCAAAGATCCATCAAACTAAATGTCTAAGTATTTTAAACCCCTAGATGCGAAAATTGCTATGTGCACTTAATTGTGGTTAAAAGATAACTTGAGCGTTTGCGCTAGCTCTTTCAACAAATCTGGCAAAACTATCATCAAATCAACCCACACACGAAGAACTGATAATGTAAATAAATTAATGTTAAGATGCTGTATTGTGGTTATTTCCTGTTCACAAAGAATCATGCGTCTGATGGTGTTTGTTAATTTCTCCATGAAATGGCTTAATGTTGAATAATTACTATTTCTTCTTTGAGAGTAATACATTTCCTTGGCCCGCTCTCCACCTGCCAAGAAAACAACAAAACTTTGCCAGATCTCAGGTCTTTTTCTGGACTGATTAAACTCAGTAAAGAGTTAATGATTACTACACTTTTAAAAGAGTGCGTGCATTGTTCTGTCGTTGGGAACTGCGTGGCACCGCACAATTCAATAAAGCACAAGGCATACAAACACAACGGAGGCAATCTACGTATGTGCTTGCGTTAAGCGGACACGAATAAAAGAAATAATTAACATTTTAAATATATACAAGTGGTCCCAACATCTGTGTTGACACCGCCTCATGTTTCTGTAGCCACACGACTGGGAGTTTGCTACAGTTTAAGCCTTACCCACGCATTCGTTTGCTCATTTACGGCACAAGATTGATTGAAGCTAAACGCTAGTAAATTAATCATCTTTAGCTTGCTGTTGTTTCCTCTGGAACGAGTGTTAAGCCGGTCTGCTATCGGTATTTCTGCTCTTGTTGCTCTTAAGATCTGTGCTGCTGTACAACTCAGTTCCGTATTCAAGTGAGTCGGCGTTCTGTGAATTTGCAGTTCGCCATTACTCGGCAAGTTTTGAAAATACTTCGAAGAGAGGACATCGTGTGGACAAAAATCTGTTTTGCTGAGTGCAGTAAAATTGCAGAAATTGGAAAACGGTGGGTGTGTCCAAGTCTGATCAGCGCAGCATTAGAGAGAAAACGCTATATGAATACACCTGGCCTTAGTCTTTAATCAATTCGGAGGTTTCTCAGAATGCACCGTCTTTTCACCGCACTGAACTCAAATGAAACCGATTACAAGATCCCAGATATGTCTCCAGGACCGACAACATCCAGAGCGTACATGCATTACTACGAACGACAAATCATTGCATCTTTGTGTATCATTTCTGCCGTGGTGGGGGCAGTTGGCAACTGTTTGGTCATCGCCGCCATGTTCAAGTCGAAGAAGCTCCGCACGGTGACGAACGTGTTCGTGGCCAACCTCAGTGTCAGCGACCTGCTGGCTTGCCTGTTCCAGCCATGGGAGGCGGTCGCTGTGTTGGACGAAGGCGATAAATGGCTGTCCCATGCTAACTGGATTTGTGTCACCAGCATAGCAGTCCTCTGTCTTAGCTACGGTAGTAGTTTCAACAATTTAACCCTCATAGCCCTCAACAGGTGGATCGGCATCACTAAGCCAAAAGCTACAGCACGTCGTATTTACAGCCGACGGAACATCGCCTGCATGTTGGTTTTCTCCTGGGCTTTCCCTTTGAGCCTGATCTTGATACCCCTCTTGTCCGACTTCGGTGAACTTGGATACGAACCGTTGTACAGTGTCTGTGGCTTTGTAAGGGCAAATAACAATTCATTGACATATAGTTTTGTGTTCAGTATGTGCTTTTCCCCGATCCAGTTCGTCATCCTTGTTTTCTGCTATGCGTCCATCTTCTGGTACGTCCGTAAGAAGTCGAAAACTATGGCTCGACTCGAGATTGACAGTGTTTCTGGTGGGGTCTGCTCTCTTGAGCGGGAGGTGCGAAGGAAATTGTGGAAGAGGCGGATTGCTGTCACCAAGAATCTCGTCTACATTGTGTCGGCATTCATCATCTGTCAGTTGCCCTTTGTCATTGCAATCAGTCAACAGGCAAGCGATTGGGCTATTCGTATGACCATGTATGCGGTAGCTATTCTATTCCTTAACAGTAGCATCAACCCTATTATATACGCCGTTTCCCATCCGGATTTCAAAGAAACTTTTAACGACATGTTTTGCCGCAAATAGCCTACTTTCAGAAAGCAGTTCTGAGTTATTCACTTCTTTCGAGTCTCTCCTAGCTGTTGCAATGAAATTTTTGCTTTGCTATGCTATAAAAGTATACATCTTGTATCGCTTCCGCTTTAAAGTGCAGCATCACCAATCTGTAATATGACACTAACAGCATAAAGAAACCAGGAAATGAATTTTCTTAGAATCACTTTTTTTGTGTATCTCTGTTCTCTTCTTCCATGTATGAAGACTGTTTGAAATCTTTTTTTTTGAGTTACATGAACTGCACGGTGCACTTTTTCAAACATTAAAAATTGACCAAGCATTTCTGGACAAGTGAGGGCGCTTTTGCTTTGATGTAAATCCAGGAAGACATTGTTCAGGTTGCATGTTTTCAAGTTCAAATTGTGAATCCCAAATTTGCTATCTGGTAACATTTCTGTGAAAAGGATTTTTGCTGGATTATTGCCATATACTTACACAGCAATAAACTGCCAAAGAAAATAAAATCTGCCATAGCAGTGGTCAAAAATATCTAAATTTTCTGTGCACAAATCAGAGCAACTTTGAGATTCAGCGCCTTGGATGACGTCATAGTTCTGCTCATGAATATGCAAATAACATTAGCATAAAACCAGAAAAACATCAAAATATGGGTTAAAATTGCAAAACAAAATATTTAAAAAAGGTTAATTGAAACCCAAAGATGCATTTCAAGGGTTTTTAGTAAAATGTATAAAAATGTTACTATTTCCTGGTTCCTTTCAACAACAGTGTTTCTTCCAACTACAGATTATTCTAGAACCAGCATACACAGTATGAATGATATGAATCGGTTGACGTAGACGCCTTCTGTAATCAAGAGAGGGCATTTTCTCAGCTGTCTCAGCTTATACCTGTTACACTATCTTGTTTCAAACACAGTTTGACGTTGTGGTGTAATTATACGTGTTTAAACGTATGCTAATTCTCACATTTTCTGTCACCAAGTGGTAACTTTGGGGTTCGGAAGTGGTTAGGTTGGTTCAGTTTTTTAACGCACTTTGCTGTGTCTTCATAGATGGTTTGATAATTGTGGCAATTTATGCTGGCTACCGTAATGTTAGAACTATTTTCAACGCAATGACTTCACTGTCAAAACGAAATATAAAACGAGATTAGAAGTGTCTATCGGCATATTCCGCCACAAATAACATTGCAAAGCTAATAGAGTGTGGGCTTGTGTCTTCCGATCGGGAAGCTACTATCATCTATTTTCGTTTTGAATCAGACCAAGTTCCCGTTTTCCCTTTTTGACTTTGTTCTCTTTTATTGTTAGGGCATTGTTTCTTTCGAAAGGGGACCATGGTAAATTATATTTATTCAGTTCAGGAATATTCTAATCGAGAAAGATCGAGACTCGACTGTCACCCTCCCTATCAAAGTGCACAGGAACCATCAACAGCTATGTTTTATCTGTAAAAATGAAATCCAAGGCCGCGGTTTGTAATTAATGAGAAGATTTGCATGAGTACGGTAATAAATCAAAGTAATAACTCTCAACTCCGTGCTTTGTGTTTTAGAACATCAGTTACAGTGCACTTTCAGTACAATTAAGAGCGACTACTTAATTGAAGTCTTGCCCTCTCGAAAGTGCCGTGAATCATTCGGCCTTAGATCATTCATGTTAGAGTTACCCTTTATTATCTGCAACGATGAAACACCGATCTCGGTTGCCGTGTACAGTAAAGTATTACCTTTGCCAACTGTTTAGATAAAAAAATTATGTCGTGCAGGAAGAAGCTGTAAGCTTGTGAGCGTCAGTATAGAGTTTTTTGAGTACGAATCGAATAACTTTATGAAATCTTAAAAACAATGAACCTAACAATGACCACCACATAGCCTCGTACCCCCCATCCCTATACACACTCTGGACTATTGTTACCTAACACATCCCCCCCTGAAAGTCTGTAAAGAATTCCTGAGATTCCAATCAAACAATGACCAACGCAAAGGGGGGGGGGTTCTCTCTGCCCCATATTTTGAATCACATGCGTGGAAGAGTATTCAGGGACTATTGCTGTTCTTAAAAAGCAGAACGCTCCGCCCGGTCAACAGTGTCTTCCTGGGTAACTAGGTAACGTCACAGTTAATTCACTTTCGCGCATGTAACTTGGCAGGCATTCACTGTTCTCAATAGATGAATTTCACATTAGCCCCGTCTGCGCATATCCGTATCAAAACCGACGCTCTCTGTGTTGAACTTGATTGCGCGCGCCCGCGGAGTCCACACAGTACATGCAGTATCCGGTTCGTAAGTGTGATACCACTTCAGTTTAAACCACGCCCACTGCACAAGATACACGACCATCGCAGGTACGCTTGTTCGCGGTAAATTGCCATTGTTTTTTCCTTTGATTTTAAGCGTCGAGTCATTCTGAAAGGCTCTTCAACAAAAATTTGGAGCCTGAAAAGTCTGAATTTAACATACCTGTGTGTATTTTGTGTCTTAACTCCTTACTTTCAATCGTCTGATCGTATTAAGAATTGAAGCTGACACATACAGCCTCGTTTTCAAACGCGGAAGTGCGCAGATCGACGCTAAAAGCGTCGTATTGGGATCCCTCTATGAAAATAGCTGGCCGTTTCCAAATTTTCGAGGATTTGAGTGGCTACTATACGGTGGAAATAAATGCAAGCATTGGATGCGGTAGCACCACTTAATCTCTCATAGATATGAACCCGTGGTTGACATGCCACAACATGTTGCATCTACAACCGCAGATTGTATGGTTGCTCTCTCGTTGGTCATCTCATTACAGCTCCGACAAACCAACACCACCGTGGCCACTGGGTATAATTTACAACTGTTTTATTCCAAGAATGATCATCGACGCTTATAACAACTGTTTATATCACACAACTTACATTGCATATTCGACAAATTAACGTAAACTTAATCTATGACAGCCCCTTATGAGAACCTGAGATAGGCGAAAAACAGAGGTAAAAACCTCAAAAGAAACACCTGTGCAAAAATTCTGGCAAATTCCTATCTGACACCCATGAAGGCGATCAGGCATTAAACCATATAAACCCCAGGATCTCAAATATTCGACATATTATCGGGTAAGATATTGAAAGAATAGTCTGTTGATATATTTAAATATATATAGGAAACTCCAAAATGAAAAAGTGAATTGTATAGCACGGTGACTGCGATTGGCAACGCCCAACATTCCAACCCTTAAATAACCACACCTTGCAATTCGCAGCAGAGCGCACTACTTTACTCCTGTACCTCCATACCTCCACATAAAATGGGATAGTAATTCTCTTTCCATACGCATGCCAAGAGAATGTGCAATTCCGTTGGCATCTTAGATAGGCCTTCCTTTAGATGGAAACCATCTCCGATCTTATTGCCTCAATTGGCTTCGTAGGTTGCCAACGGTGGACTAAGATGGTACCAGACTATTTTATGATTGACGTGTGTTCCAAGCCACCATTTCAGTATTTTTTCCAATTCTGGTCCAAAACAATGATGTATGTCGAATCACAGATTTGAAATTATCTATCAGAGTAGACCGGTACCAATTTGACTTTAAATCATTTTTATTGCTCTTAATTCCACTCTCAAGTTTCAAAAATAAATACTTAACCTTGTTTCAGTAGGGCCAACCCATGAATAGAGTGTAGGATTGGCCTACCTACATTTGGGCGTCGTACTAAGACAACAGTGGACAAAATTATAGAACATTGGAAATAAACTACGGAAAATTAATTTGAAAAAAGAATTATTGAAGACAGTAATAAATGCATTAATTCTATATGAAAGGTTAACAGGTAACGAGCGCCTGTCTTTTATCAGTTTTAATCTAAGAGTGACTGATATGAAAATGAATTGTCTAGATAGAAGAAATTTAGGTTTAAATGATCGAATCACATCGTGTTGGATAATGGAAAAATGCTGCATGATGAATTATAAAAACAAATAAATTTACTGATTAATTCCCCCCTCGAGTCGCAGAAAAGAGCTTTAAAATGCGAAGCGACATTGTCGCACACACAACTGGACTTTGCTCGTCCATCTGCTGCACACAGTTCACTATACATAGATCACCATGTTTCTGTTGGAAATAATTAGGGGACATTGCCAAAAAGAGAGGAAACGATTTCAGTTATATCTCAAGAACTAACAAAAGCTTTCATTCTGACGTTTGTGTAAAAATCAATAAACTTATACTTTCTTTGTTCAAGGATTTGAAGTGGAATTTCCTTTTTTTTAATGTTATACCTTTATATATGAAACAAGCAACTCAATGTGCCAATTTATGTCTTTGTTGATAGATAGAGGCCGTTTTGGGGAATGAATTTTTTTGTCATAATCGTCACTTCAGTGGAGTTCTTCGAGATGTAATGTTTTACGAGGAAAAAGGTACAAATCGTACGATTAACTGCTATTGGAGTGGACCTTCAAGAAGCATACTGCAGTATACCATTTTCTAAACCTCACGCACCAACCGAACTACATTTGTTGGTGCTCGTTTTTCCTATGAATGGCTTGTAATTAGATTTAGAAATCCACAGCGACACGGTCCCCCTGAAAACCCAACCACGCCCTGATGGCCTACACGGTGTAGGTAACAATACACAGCATCTCATCGTTCGGTATGTGGGCGCTAATATTAATTTAATTGTAATCATTAATATATGAATCACTGCGATAATTGATATCAAAATAGTAACTGAAAAAATAAAGAGTGTTTTTTTCATCTATATTCACCAAAACTCCCTCATTTATAAAGTTTAATCCATATATTATACGATTTGCATGCTATCAAATTCTCTGCTAGTAGAGCATTTCCTGGCACGTGGACTTGATGGTTTGTGAACAAGAAGGGTGGAATCCAAGCAGGAGTAACAGCTTGTGTTTCTGAAAGTATTGGGAAAAAGAGGGCCCTCCAACTGCTTGATTCAGTAATGGAGCGTAGGCATCAATTTTGAAAATTACAATGGGCCTCCTGACAGTTTTGTGGGGTTAATCATCTCTGGAGATAAATGCCTTGAAGTTATTCGTTATTGAGAGGAAAATGAATGATGGGGAAATGAGCTTTAATTTGAAATGTGTCTTGAACACCTGAAAAACTCAATCTTTTCCTGAGTTTTGAAGTGGGGATATTTATTACTGTCGTTTATGGAAGCTTATATTTACTGGTCTGCAACCTCTAAGTGAATGCAAAAATAATGCCGGCAAGTCATGGTCTAAATAGTTCACATTTTTTCCTTGAAAACTCAAGGATGAGCGAAAACAAAAAACTTGAAGGGTGTGTTAACGATTAAGACTTTTCTAAACACTTTGAGCACTGTCAGTGTTCTTTTAGAATCCCCCAGATCAGGAGATTGTCACAAACGACATCCCCAACGTACAGCACATGTCCAACTGGACACCGAGTCCAGGACAGTATTTCAACAGGCCATTCTGCCCAAATAGTTTGTCGGCCCGAAAAGACAGCATGCCCTATCTTGTCTCGACTACAAATCCAATGCTGTCAATTGTGACAACCGGTAAATCGTGCATGACTCGTCCTCAGCGGTAGGCTCACTCGCCCTACTCCCCATGTTGTGCCCCCTACGAGTGTGTAATACATGAGTTTGTTTCTGCATTCAATTGGGGACCCTGAACAATAGAGGACAATAAGGTCCCTGATTGACAGAGGGTCCCCGATTGACAACTGTGTTCAAAACATATGGGTGGTCTTGTAAAAAGTTAAAGTACAAACAAAAGAGGAACAATAGGGGGTCCCCAGTTGCAGGCAAATACACACTTGTGTGCGTGCGTGCAAATTTTATGCAACGCAGCTTATCAGCCAATTAGAGCTTCTACAAACTATTTTTTCCGTCGGATTGTGGCGGGTGATATTGATTGGTCAAATTTTGTCTGTTGACTTGGCAGGCGACGGCGTCGATACAACGTGTCCTCCTATGTTATGAATTGGTCAGATTCAACATAACTTCAAGCTACGGTTCTCAATCGGATTCGGTCAAACATGACAAGAATAAGCTTACAAACCTCCATTAAAGTGTTCTAACAAATATTGAAAATCTTGCGGGATCAACAGTGGGGGAAACAAAAAACAAAACATAAACAAATTCCTGGCGTTGACAATTACGTTCATGCATGCGTCACCATTTTCAGCTAAAGGTACGACAGCATAAACGTCCGTTGATTGGTCAAAATCTGGGGTTCAGTGGGATAACGCGTTGCATAATTAATCGTGGAATCTGCACACATGCCGTAAGCGCTCGTCAGCGCCCGAGCATCTGTTACAGAGGCTACGCTGTGCTGGCATCACAGCGACAATGCCGGGAGGCGCCTCATCATTAAAGGTCTAACGAGAAAATGTCTTTGGTTTGGGCCTTTTTGAAGGGTTCGAGAGGTCGCGATTTGTACATTGTTCATTGATTTCCACAGTTTTGCATACATACAATCTCAATTTTCAAACACTATATAAATAGGGGGGGGGGGAAGCCGTGGAGGTACCCACTAAAAAGCAAAGCTTATGATTGTGGGCCCTTTAAGCAACTTATAGCTACTTTTAATTAACTACCACACACAAAAGACAAACACTTCACAGCCTTGACACTTACTCTGTATGTCAGTAAACAATTACCTAAGTTTGAAATAAAAAAAGATGAATAGGAAAAATGACAGAGAATAAGAACCCTGGAAGATTATAGATAAAGCTAATCAATTCCACAGTCAATAATTATTGATAGTAATCATTCAATATGATCTTTTTGAAGTTCAGTTTGAAGATTCGCGAATTTTTCGTGGCTTTCAGTTTCTCATCCAAAGAGTTCCATAAACTTGGTCCTTCATATCGGATTGTTTTTTTAGCCAAAGATGTACGCATTAATGGCAGATAAAAATTTGCGCTTTGACGAGTACACATGTATAACGAGAATGCATATCAAGATTCGTGGTGAAAAGCACATTAATTGATGGATGGTAGAGAACCAGCAACAAATTGATGCATAAGGATGATGAAAGTAAACGTCTTTGATTTTCGACATCTTATGTTTGGAAAATAAAGGATCAGTGTGAGATTACAATGTAATCGTGGTGTACAGGCACAACCCCATCCAATCTCGTAATTTTTTCAGTCCAGAATATTTAAATTCTAATTGAAAAGGTAAGAGCGGTTTTCGTTTTATCAAAATACTTTGGGCTCAATAAACTGGGGTGTAATTGAAGACACCCCCAAAAACAAGCAATGAGCGACGACTGAACATCGTCGTCGTAACATCAACCATGGCCACTAATGCTTCTGTTGCAAGACGTTGCTATGGCAACAAGTTATTAACTTGGCTGTACTGCATTTCTACACAAAAGTAATTAGTGTCACTAATAATTGGAATGCTTTGTCAATTATTGAGGACTTATATTTTCATTGATGCATCGACATAACGCATGGTTTCTCATTCACGGCTGCTAATAATATGTCTAGCAGTGGAACGAAAAATCACATTTTCTAGCTTTCAGTCTTTGCTGTCTCTAATCATGTTCTATTTTTTTATTTCTATTTCATTTACTGGTAAATCATGAACAACAATCAGTATTTTGCAATTTCATTTAGGGGGTTGTAATATTTGGAGAAAACAATCAATGGTTCGCGTTCGTTACATCTGCAGACCTAAATGTAAAAAGTAACTGCTACGGTGTCCGTACCCTCTTCCCTTAATACATAGCATACAATGTGGTTCAAATCTGTTTGTTCTTCATGATTAGCAAGTACAGTTCATCGTTAAGAATTTAAGTTTGACTTGAACAATTACAATAAAGCCAGAATCGGTGAGCATTCTTCTACTACCAAGATGCATTTTTCTTCTATACTAATGCTCCTGTTTGGGGTAATTGCTATTGCGATTTCAGTGTAAGCCTGTAGTTATCACCGATGTCGTAGTGTTTTGAGTCGCCGGCTGGCCAAATGGTCCGCAATTTTCTGAGCAGCTGACCGGATATTTATTTTTCCTTCAAGTGTTTTTCAAGCGTGGGACTTTTACTACCGAAAAAGATGCTTTTTATAAAATGAGCTTGGATGATCGACTCCCCGCAACTCCGTATGTATTACACGTGCATAGAATTGGGTGGGCACTAAATTTTTTGAAGCGTGAAAAATATAAATAAAAATAATTGTCAAGTCCCATCTCTTCGCTTAAGAAATCAGCATCCAATGGGAGATGAACTAAATAAATTGGGCCTGGGACAGCCGAGTTCAGCGGGAGGGGGAGATCCCAATCTTGTGAGGTGGCTGAAATTAAGCTCCTTTCACGTTTGAAAATACTTTTCCCTGATTTCTACCGTCGGGGCACGCTCCACCAGAGAGATCACTCCTGCTCTATTGACGCACCCCCTTAAAATATCGCCCCTCCCCTGCGCAGTTTAATGGGTTCTGTGCCCGTCTTTGGTTCTTTCATCGTAACGTGGAAGCTTCCTCAGCCTAAAGCGGGACACCGTATATTCTGATTAAAGACCATTTCTGAGCCCTTATAACAATTTTGTGATGCACTACCACGACGACGATTACGCTGAAAATGCTGTCATATACAACCCAGCGGCCGGCAAGCAGGTCATCACTTCAACTGTAGCACACACATTTGGAATTTAAATGAATATGGACTGCTGTTCGTGTTGGCCATTTTTTCAGCGCTCTTTTCAGTATAAATCGAGGAGCAATGCATAATATCCACCTCATTTGTGTCGTGACAATGCAACGTCGTTACACTCCAACGGCACCTTTTGTCCACTTATGGCAAAGGGCGAAAATCCTGTTTGCGTGGTAATAATTTGTCATGAATGAAATGTTTCATGTGGATGCACGTATCTACACCTGGCGCCAGTGCTATTTTAGCCATGCTCATTTTTAATGTATATCGAGTAATTATCTGTACGCCGTGAAGACGATAGGCAGATTGGCCGTCCTATCAAATTGTCGTTTTTGTTCCTGGATGCTACACAGGTTTCGGGAGTCACGTCACTGGAACTGGCCATCTGATGCACACTGGCAACCGTTTTCAAAAGTACATGTACATGCCCATGCATTAAAGCACGGCGTCAACAAGAACTTTGTGAGCGCGGTTTGCTGGTGCTGACTGCGGCTTAACAGTAAATTCAACAAACTGACCAAACTACCTGAGCACATCTGAATAATCGAGAAGTGTGTTGGACTCTAGTGAACGGCCCCGTGCAAGGAAAATCCTATGCTTTGGTTTGTACATAGTGTTGGTTCCAAGTATGGAGAACACTACGAGTACAGATGGCACTGGGTGGCCAACGTTAAGCACACAAGAAACTTTCCGAGCGTACAGATCCTACGGCGAGAGACAATTGTTCGCAGCGATGTACATCACGGCGGCTATAATGGGAGTGCTTGGTAACACTTTCGTGATCCTTGCCGTCGTCTTGTCGAAGAGACTCCGTACGGTCACCAATGTGTTCGTGGTCAACCTAAGCGTCAGTGACTTAATCTCTTCGATCTTCTTGCCCTGGGAGTCGGTTGCCATATTGAGCCTGGACGGGTGGCCTCTGCCCCAAGCCTACTGGATTTGTGTGACTACCAGCGCGATACTCCATGTCAGTTACGGCTGTAGTATCAACAATCTGGCCCTCATCGCTGTTAACAGGTGGATTGGTATCACCAAATCGGGCTCAACCGCCAGACGCATCTACACCCGCCGAAACATCGCCTGCATGGTTATCTTTTCTTGGGCGTTTCCCCTTGTCATCATCTCCATAGCTCTCTTGACCGACTACGGTGAGCATGGGTACGAACCTGTCTACAGTGCTTGCGGCTGGGTCAAGGCCAACCCCTACACAACTCTGCTTGCCGTGATATTTAGTGTCTGTTTTTTCCCCATACAGCTCTGTGTCATCATATGCTGCTACTTCTCGATTTATCGCTATGTACTCAAGACCTCTCGACGGATGACCGCGTACGATGCCCCCACCGTCTCGGGCTCGATCGGTGGTTCGAATCGCGCCAAACAGCAGAGCCAGTGGAAGAGGAAGATAGCGGTCACCAAGAATCTCGCGTACATCGTCCTAGCCTATGTCATCTGCCAGTGTCCGTACTTTCTTGCCGTCACTCAGCAAGGGTACGAGTGGGGGATGCGCTTGACCATGTACTCTATCGCAATCTTGTACTGCAACATATGGATCAATCCTGTCATTTACGCCACGTCCCATCCTCACTTTAAGGAAGCGTTTAGCGCCATGGTTGGTTGTAAATGGCAAAATATTTCCCGAAGTCGTGCACATTCTCAGAGGACAGTCAGCACCTCAACTTCGACGAGACAGAACGGTCGCGAAGTCACACCAGTTGAATAAAGTGTGAGACGTGCCACTGCTGGGAATGTTTGACACAGGACCTGCTCATGATGTTACAGATCACGGCTGCCTGAAGCTATTCGCTGAGTAGGAAGCGAAAACACAGTGATTTTCTTGATATTTTCAAAGTGTGTTTAACTGTGGTGGCTAAAATTGTTGTAATGTCATTATTTCATCTTTACTTTGGAACCCAATTTGATCAGACCAAGACAACAAAAGATAACAAGGTCTTGTCGGCACATTCCCCAGGCAGTAGCATCCCAGGGGTTAAATGGCTTTCACGGGGCAGCTTAATAGGCTCTGGTTTGGTGCTAGTCGCTTCACAGCCGCCATAAAAAACAAGGCAACGTGGACTCCAACCTCTGCTCGTGTGGATAATTCCAGACACTTGGACATGTATTGACTTGGCGTGACATGAAAGGGTCTCTAACTCCCTCCTTCTATCCTAAATGGACACCCCAAACACTGACATGTCACCATTTTTGAATGATGTGGCTGACAAGGCCGGTTCTTACTTTTTCGCTTTTGCTTTTACGGCTTTATTCGCTTTTGATCGGCTTTTAAAGAGAGCTACAGTGCCTTCAGTAACTGAAACGAAAGTATCCCCAGCAGTATCCGTTGGACTAGTCACTGCCAGTTTGTCTCTCTTATAGTCTTGCCACAGTCATTTGCCAAAAGGCCACATAACTGTTCCAGCAACTCGATTAGGAAAAATCAGCGGACGTGCAAATGCGCATGCATGCACTTTGTTATTACGATCGATATATTACAATATATAGTCTATGGAAATGTTTGCTAAAAGTGCCATTTGAGGTTAAACTAGTATTGCATTTTTGTGTCGATCCTATTTTAGCCCTGTTTCCTTGTTGCATTCGAACATGAACCTAGGAGTATTCGTCATCATAGAGATAGGGTTTCAAAATGAAGATAAGTTTGTACCTGAGAGATAAAAGAGAACTTTCTACGACAAGAGTGGAAATTTGTGTCGTTAAGGCAAGTGACAATTAATACACCCAATTTTGGACAACTGAATTGAGGGGAAGATTGATCAGGGTCTAAGTTGATTGATCTCAAATTATTTGGCTGTGTTGTTTAGTGAACGGTAACTGCAATGGTTATACATATAGTTTATTGTTGAGCGAATAATTGTCATAAATGACACCAACACTTTAAGACTTCAGAAGTGTCTAATGTTCTACTCAAGCGCAATTACATCTCAGAGGTAGAGGTGATAACTTTGACAGAAACTGCTAGAGAGTGGAAAACCTTGGAATTACACTATCAATTTCAGCACCATGAATTTGCAGTTAATTTGCAGTTTCACTGGGAAATTGTTTTTTCACTGCAACTTCATGGCAGTTCACATGGTGAAAACACCGTGAAAATAATGCCGGTTGTGACCCCTTGCCGACACCTTGAGGTCAAGTGAAAATACCGTGAAAATGCAGTGAGCCCATCTAGGGGGCCTTCCACATTAACTTTGCGGTGGGGCTAATCCTTTAAATGCTTTACGGACCATTATCTGAATGTCTCATAAAAAGTAACATTACCTGTCTTCTTACTNAGTGAAAATTCTGCTTACGGGCTAGTAAAAAGCCATCCATGCTGGTCCGGCTGGCAAGTGAGAAAAACATTACGGGCAAACCCTGTCCATGCACGATGTCATATGTACACTGCGCTTACTGGATTGGACAATGATGTACACGCCCTTGCTATCCTTGCTCGCTCTGATGCTACATTGTCGGCTTTGTTATTCCACCACTTTGTATACAGTTTCACTGTCTTTTGGCAATTCCATAATTCGGTGTGGTAACTTCACCACTCAATGTGCCTTTTGCCCACAAAAGTTGGAAATATTCATATGTCTTCTGGTATGTGGTCAAGGGGGGGGGGTGTTGGACATCTAACACCAAGTTTCGTGGAATTTTATGAATCGTGTGACATTTTAGGGCTGAAAAAAAAACTTGTGTCCTTCCTCCATGGTTCTACATAAGCAAAATGTGCTTATCAACTTTTCAGCTGCATCCGGCAAATTTGAGCCATTGTACGTGTATCCATCTCTTCTCACAGCTCAAAAAAGGAAAAATCAATCCTGTCTTTCCCAGGAAAGACAGGATCCTGTATTCACAAAACACCTGCTTTACATTCACAACATGTGGAAAGAAGGTTTTGTGGTTTTCACAGGTT